TTACTTCAATGGTGAGAGAGGATGTAATGAGAGGAAAGCATTCGGTGGAAATGGTATGGGTGGAACCGAGGAACAGTAAAGGATCAAAAACTGTAATAGGTGTTGTGTACAGACCCCCTGGTATCAGCTCTGAAGTGCTGGATTGTATGAATGTAGAAATTAGACAAGTGTGTCGCAAAGGCAGAGTATTATTAATGGGGGATATTAATTTTAACATAGATTGGGAAAGGCAAACAAGCATCTATCAGAAAGACAGTCAATTTCTGGAGTGTGTCCAGGCTAGTTTCTTACAATACATCCTAGGTTGAAAAAGGAAACAAACACTAATGGCTTTAGTAGCAAGTAATGAGTTGGATTTAGTTAGTTACCTAAACATGCATGAACAGGTATCAAATAGTGATCATACTATGATGGAGATCAATCTAGTGTTTCAAAATGAAAAGCATGAATCAGCTAGTAGAGCTTCAGATTTATGCAAGGCCAACTTTAACAAGATGAGACAGTAAACTGGGAAAATCTGCTAATGGGTAAAGCAACTGAAGAACAGTGGAGGATGTTTAAAGAAACATTTAACGCAATACAAAACCAGTTTATACCCGAGAGGGAAAAGCTCCACTTCATAGAAAAATAGCCATGGACAAATGAAGAGATAACCGACAGCATAAAACTAAACAAAAAGGCTTAGAAAAATGCAAATATACAACACAGATCCTGCTAAATGGGAAAGATACAAAGACCAAAGGGTCATAAAGTAGTTTATAAGAGCTAATGAAAGGGATTATGCCAGGGACATGAAAATCAACAAGAAATTTTCTAGTTACAGAAAGGGAAAGTGCACAGTGAGGAGCAATGCTGGCCCACTAAAGACTGAAGGTGGCGATATTGTCAATGGCTATGAGAAATGGCAGACGTTGAATAATTAAAATAAAACAAAAAACTGTGGATGCCGCAGATCTGAAACAAAAACAAAAACAAAAATTGCTGGAGAAATTCAGGTCTGGCAGAATTTGTGGGGGGGAGAAAAGCAGAGTTAACATCTCAAGTCCAATGGAGACACCTGTCTTGAGATGTTAATTCTGCCTTGTTCCCACAGATACTGCCAGACCTGCTGAGTTTCAGCAGCAACCTCTGTTGATGCTGAATAATTACTTTGCCTCAGTATTTGCAGCAGAAAAGGAGGATAGCTTGCTGGAAGCCCCAAGGAAATGAGAAGTAGATTGGGAACATGAACTGAATAAAGTTAACCTAAGTAAAACATCGGTAATGAGGAAATTAATGAAATTAAAGAACGATAAATCCCTGGGACCTGACAGTTTCCAGAGGGTATTAAAGGAAGTAAGGGCAAACATTGTAGACAACTTACCTATTAACATTCAGAGATTCCTCAGACACAGGAGTTGTCCCTTTGGAATCGAATTACATGTCACTCCGCTTTTTAAGAAGTGCGAAAGAGGAAAATCAGGGAATTACAGACCCATTAGCCTAACATCTGTAGTGGCGCAATTGTTGGAGTCAATAATCAAGGATAGGATAACTTAAATTTTCAGTTAATCTGGGAAAGTCAGCATGGGTTCATGACAGGTAGGTCATGCCTGACAAACCTCATTGACTTTTTTGAAGCGACGGTTAAGGTAATGGACATGGGAATGTCTATGACTTATTTATTAAATGTCTTCTGAAAGTACATATAAAGTCCCATGTAACATACTGTTAACTAAGACAGAAGCCCACAGAATCAAGGGCAAATTACTGCCATGGCTGGGAAACTGATTGAGTGGTAAACCACAGAAACTGGGGATAATGAATAGGCACTCAGATTGGGTGGGTGAGTGGGTGGGTGGGTGAGAGAGACAGGGAGAGAGCTCGCGAGCGAGCAAACATACGAATAAATTAGCTTTATTGTCAAATTGGCAGGATGTGACCAGTGGCATAACACCTGGATCTGTATTAGGGCCTCAATTATTCACATTGTTTATTAACAACTTGGTAAATGGCATGGAACATCATATATCCAAATATGTTGATGACACAAGATTAGGCTGCATTGTAGACAATGTAGATGATAGCATAAAATTACAAAGGGATATTGATAGACTGAGCGAATGGGCAAAATCATGGCAGATGGAGTTCAATGTAAGCAGTGTGAGGTTATGCATTTTGGACAGAGAAAGGATAGAGCAGTGTACTTTCCAGATAGTATGAAGTTAAATACAGTGGATGCCCAAACAGACTTGGGGGTTCAGGTGCATAGATCTCAAAAATGACAACCGACAGATGCAGAAAATATTGAAGAAAGCTAATGAAATCTTGGTCTTTATACCTGGAGAACTGAAGGACAAAGGGGCAGAAGTTACGGTGCAGTTATACAAAACCCTGGTTAGACCTCACTCAGAGTACTGCGAGCAGATCTGAGCACCACACCTTAGGAAGGATATACTAGCCCTGGAGGGAGTACAAAATAGGTTTACAAGACTGATACCTGGACTTCAGGGATTATGTTATGAAGTAAGATTATATAAATTAGGCTTGTCTCCCCTAGAATTAAGAAAGTTAAGGGGTAATCTGATCGAAGCCTTCAAGATATTAACAGGAAATGACAGGGTAGGTAACAATAAACTATTTCACTGTTTGAGGACTCTCAAACTAGGGGGACCTTGTCTGAGTATTAGGACCAGACTGATCAGGAGAGATGTTAGGTAGCACTTCTATACACAAAGGGTGGTAGATTTTTAGAAATGATTTCCACAAACAGCAGTGGTGCTGGATCAGTTGTTAACTTTAAATCGGAGATAGACAAATTGCTTAACTAAAAAGGTATTACAGGATATGGGCCAAAGGCAAATATATGGGTTTAGGCCACAGATCAGCCATGATGTTGTTGAACAATGGAACAGACTGGAGGAGCTGAATGGTCTACATTTGTTCCTATGATCCACAGTCCAGAGTGAACTGAAAGATCATAGCCAGTGCCCCCACAATTTCTACACTCACTTGCTCCCAAAGTCTTTGGATGCATCTCTTCCAGTCCCATTGCCTTGTTAATTTTAAGGGCCAACAATCCATACAAGACTTTTTCGCGTTAATTTTGAACCCTTCTAGTGACAAGAGCTTCTTTCTCTGTTACCACAGTCCAGGCAGTAACCTACTGTTTTGTAAAGATGGATGCAAAGTATTTCTTTAACACCTCAGCCATGCCGCTCTGCCTCCATGTGTCAATCCCCTTTTTGGTCTTTGATTGCCCTATTCCTCCTTTAACCACTCTTTTGCTATTTATATGCCTAACAAAGACTTCTAAAATTCCCTTTATTTTACCTGCTACTTTTTTTTCTCAATGTCCTTCTTTGCTTCTTTTATTTGTCTTTTCACCTCGCCCGAACCTTCAGCATTCCTGTTAATTCTCATTTGTATTTTATGCCTTACACCTAGCTGAAGCACACATTTTCCTTCTAATGTTAATTTCTACCTCCTCCTCATGCAGGGAGCTCTGATCTGCCCCATGGCCTTCACTAGGTTTGTCCTATCTTCCCCATTTGAGGCAATAGAGTTCAACAGTACCCAAAACATTTGGTCTTTGAAGGTAGCCCATTCTTCAGTTACTGTTTTTCTCACCAATCTCTTGTTCCAATCAATCCTACTAGCTCTTTTTCTGCATCATTCAAATCCACTTTCTGCCAACAGTTCTTTCTTAATCTGGATTAGAATTAGATTTTACTGTCACATGTACTCAAGCAAAGTAGTACATTAGCACAGTGAAAGATGTACAATGTTGCCATTCCTGGGACCATCTTGGGTACAAAGGTACCTAGGTACAAAATCTTAGGCACAAAGTAGAAAACTAAAGAAACAAAATTAAACGTTAAACATTGAAGTCCTTCTCAGCACTAAGTAGAAAAGTAAAGAAATAAAGTTAAACAGTCTTTAATAAGTGCTTAGCCATGCTGGGCTTGCACTCCCTGTAAGAGCTCAATCTCCTCCACTTTGGCTTGCTCTCTAGGAGACTTTGGGCTGCCTGTGGCTGATGCTTACGCAGATGCTGGGGACCTCCCTTACCTCCGTGCTGAGTTTGCTCCTCCTGCACTGGGCTCGATCTCCAACCACTAAAGTCCTGATCCAGGCCCCCAGCCACTGCCATGCACTGGACTGCAACGAGCCATGAGGCCACCAACTTCCAAAGTCCCCACTCCGGGGTCTCACTCTCCTGCTCTTACCCGATTATCCTATAGTTGATCATTTGCCTTTTCAAATATTTCATCTAAATCTCATTTTTAAACTGTAATTGTTCCTTAGGACTGCCAGCGCCAATACGATGGGTCGAATAGCCTTCTTCTACCACGTACCCATTTTATGAACCTGTTTTCATAACCCCCAACAGCAGCCTATTCCATATCATAACTTCCCTCATGAGGACTTTGGTTCATAGAACAGATAGAATCCCTACAGTGTGGAAGCAGGCCATTTGGTCCATCAAATCCACACTAACAATCTGAAGAGCATCCCACCCAAACCCATCCCCCTGTAACCCTGCCATGGCCAATCCACCATGGCGCATCCCTGGACACTATGGGCAATTTAGCACGGCCAATCCACCTAACCCACACGTCCTTGGACAGTGGGAGGAAACCAGAGCGCCCACACAGACACAGGGAGAATGTGCAAACTCCACACAGACAGCCACCCCAGGGTGGAATCGAACCTGGGTCCTTGACACTGTGAGGCAGCAGCGCTAACCACCAAGTCACTGTGCCGCCCCTTTTGACAATTGGCTTTAAATCTGAAATCAGAGGTGCCCTCCAAAATACCGACCCTTCAGGTGGTGGAGCAAGTTCTCACACTTGGCCCTGCCAAAACTCACAATATCCACAGATATGCTACATGACAATCAGAATTACAATGTCTTAACACAACTGGAGCAAATGCCCAATCATTTCCACAGGTTCTGTGCAACAATATTCCACATTACAGCATCCATCAGCAGTCTGATCCGGTTAAACATTTCTTACCATGGAAAGTGTTGTTTGAGTTTGGAGCAGGTGAGGTTCTGGCAGGACTGAAATGTGGATACACTCTGGAATCACAACTGTGCCACCATCCAGATCAGCTACAATCACATCCAACTATGGGGGGGGGGGAAAGGAAAAAATTAAAAAAAATCAACAAAATCTCTTCACCAGCTTCCTCTTCTCTATACACACAAACATATGCCTATTCCTCAATTCTCACACCACAGTCCCATTTATCACTCCACCTTCAATAACATTCACCTCAACACACATATTTGCATTTCCCCAGGCACCCACATGTTCCTCCATGTACTTTCTCTATTTTCCTTTACCCATGTCTTACTCACTTCATTATTCTCTCCCAATACCAAAATTTCTCTCGATTGCACGTCAGTATATTAAAATACACGAGTAGCACAACTGAAAATAATATTCACTAAATATAAACAGCAAACAAATATTTCAGAGAGTGGTAGAACTCTCAGCTGACAGGTTATGACTAAACAGATGGCATTATAAACTGCACTCACCAGGTCCTGCATATCTGCTCGGAAGGAGGAGTGGATTCCAATGATGAAAGGCGTGGGACTGCTCAGCACTTCAAGAAGTTGTGCCGGTAAAATTGGGATATATGTAAAACTATCAGAACACAAGGCAAAGGTTTGTTCATGACAATCCCAGAAGAAACAAACATTCCCACAAACCACCTCCACAACCAAGACCATAATTCTAGTCAGCTTCACACTTCCAGTGTACTCCACCCTCCACAACATTCCATTCCCCCCTCCCCCAAACCCCAAAGGATTATTTCCTTTCACCACCTCCCTCAGCAAAACTGAAGCTTTTGAACTTTCTGGTGCTTAACACAGCATCCAAGAGGTGCTTGCAAAGCTTCAGGCACTATACAATATCCACATGACTGTAAACTCAATTCTATCTGCTCAGACAGTTCAGTTATATCACAAATACCCACTAAAACTTCAATATACTAGTTTTTTCTGAATTACACCAGGGTATCTGCGTCCTGAATACAACTACACTGGTCTTCCCCTAGTTACCTATATTTTAGGGGGAACATGAGAGCAAGAAGAGCTCGACAGGCCTCCGTCAGTCTCTGGTAACTGGAAGACAGGAACAGAATCTTGTGTTCGGTTAGGGCAGCACAGAAAAGCTCCAGTACGTTATTAATACCTAGTAAAAGCAAACAAAGAATAGAGGAACCAAATTCCAAGGTTGGAAAGTGTGTAAAGACAATTACTATATGTTAAAATATATTTACTCTAAACACAGGTTCAATGGATTAGATCTGTTAGAATATACATTGCTGTGGATATAGAGTACGTATCTGATTTTGTAAGAAAGATCCTACTTTGAACTTTGAGTATCTGATTGCAACAGCTATATATCAATAATGTAGAGCAGTCTCAGGTTGCCAAAGTTACTGCACCTACTATATGAACTGTAAAGGCAGAACAGGACTATTCTATAAGTTTACTACAAAGCAACATCAAATATGCAGTGCCATCCTAATTCAGCAGCATCTATAATGTTCAAGTCTAACCATTATCTTGTCTTCAGAACAAATCAAGCAAACACAAATCAAGATATGGCAACCTGAAAAATCAATATTTTTTCAAATTCAGACACCCTAACCATCAAACTTCCAATTCAGCAAAAATAAAAGCAGCAAATTACATTTGCTCAAACAAGAAGCAGCAATATGAGCTCAATTTGAACAATAAACCCAAAATGAGTGAGACATCTTTGCCCCAATAAATCTAAAGAAACATTTCCCAACACACGGTCATTAACATGTGGGCAAGCTGACAGCACTGCAAGGAGTAGACAGAGCAAATATTAAAGGGGCAGTGGCAGTTTGGATCCAAATTTGGTAAAAACAGTAAATAAACATAGTAGTAAACAACTGCTTTCACCACATCACAGACTAGATGCAGCATCTGGGGTGAAAGGGATCAAAGGTTATGGGGAGAAAGCAAGATTAGGCTTTTGAGTTGGACCATCAGCCACGATTGTGAAGAAAGGCGGAGCAGGCTCGAAGGGCCGAATGGCGGCCTCCTGCTCCTATCTTCTGTTTCCTATGTTATGTCTCTAACTTCTTCCCTTTACAATTCAAGTAATTAACCTGGAAAGTCAACTTACTTCCTCACCAGAGGGTCTGCCTGGCCTAAGAGTTTCCAGCACCCTGATTTATTTCAGATTTCCAGGATCAACAAAATTTTGTTTTTGTTGGTGGTTATGCCGAATGGCTGCTTTTTGGACTGGCAGTAAGTATGCGGCGGTGTCCCCCGGGCATTGATATGAAGACATTTTTTGATATACTAGTGACCTGAATTTGAACGTAGTTAACACGAACAATGGAGCTAACATGAAAGGTGCAAATGTGATAAATAGTAATTGCCTGGCATGACTGGAAAAGTTAGGCTTGTTCTACTAAGACCAGAGGAATTTGAAAATATTTGGAGGAGATATTCAAATATTTAGAGGTTTTGAGAAAAGAAAGAGAGAGAAAATGTTTCCAATGGAAGAACTTAAAGGGCATTAGTAAAATGCAGTCATTTAGAATGCGACAACAGAGTGTGAAGCTGGAGGAACACAGCAGGCCAAGCAGGATTAGAAGAGCAGGAAGGTTGACGTTTCAGGTCAGGACCCTTCTTCACTTTCTGAAGAAGGGTCCTGACCTGAAACATCAACTTTCCTGCTCTTCTGGCGCTGCCTGGCCTGCTGTGTCCCTCCAGCTCCACACCGTGATATCTCTGACTCCAGCATCTGCAGTTCTTGCTGTCTCCAAGTAATTTAGAATGCATTGCCTTAAAGAGTGGAGGAGTGGATTCTATAATTACTTGCAAAACAAAACGGGATAAAGAAAATTCTAGACTTTTTGAAGGAACAGGGAAAGGGACTAATAGGGTGGATCATTTAAAGAACAAGCATAGACAGAAAGATCTGAATGATCCTTTATATGCTATATTAGATAGCCACAGACTACAGAAACAGACAACATAGGCCAAATGAAATTAAGTGCATGGTAGTGAAGGGATGCATTTTGGAATGAAGAATGTAAAAAGACAATATAAACTACAGGATTAAAGTGATGGGTAGTCAGTGAGTGATGCTCTTGCCCAGGCCTTTCCATCATCCAAAAGATACAAACCAGGATTATGATGGAACACTCCACACTTGTCTGAATGAACGCAGCTCCAACATTTTAGTTCTAAAAAGTACAGGATAAAACATCAACAACACCTCATCTTCCAACCTAATTATCCATTTCCTCCATAAATATCAGGGCAGAGGCTCTACAGAGTAAAAGTGGTGATAGAAAGGAGAGACCAAGGAAGACGGGTGAAATATAGGGGCCGTAGGAGAGAAAGAAGCTACAATGGGAGAAGTGGATGCCTTCAGGGGTTTTGAGCTCTATTCCCAGACAAAGGCCCCCTTGGTTGAGGGGAAAAAAAACAGGGCCTCCAGTAAAGTGGCTGAGAGAGTAACTGAGCCGTTTCAATCCTGTGCTGTTTGTGATCTGAGCAGTCTACACTAGTGACCTGATACAGTCATGTCAAAATGATCCGAAGGGGTGTGATATGATTAAAACAAGGGGTAGTGCAACCAAAGCTGTAGAAAACACTCTTTTACCCATTTATTTGAAGCAAGTTGTGGAAATGAAGACAAAAGTATTGTGGATGCTGGAAATCCGAAATAAAAACAGAAAATATTGGAAATGCTCAACAGACCTGGCAATGTCTGTGGAGAGAGAAACTGAGATCATTCATCAGGCTGAAGGTTTGACAGAGGATTACCAATCTAAAACACTGACTTAGTTTCTTTCACCACAGCTGCTGCCTAACTTGAATATTTCCAGCAGTTTCTTTTCACATTATAGAAATGAATTAACAACATGTTGCAGGCAGTTGGAGTCAGCATCAATGGAATTTGAGCATATTAAAGACCCAGACAGCAGCATGATCCTATTCAGCAGCCAGACTGATACAGCGTAATGATACACACAGAATTCAGATACGTACCAAGCTGCTTGAGTAACAAGGCAACACTGCAACCACTGACAGGTAGAGCATCACTGACAGGGGTCTGTATCACCTGACGATCTCCCGCACCCAGTGAGATGGTTCTCTGAGAAGGTAAACAAGCAGGAATTGTAAGAAAATATTTGATCAACACTCTCGAGCTGGTTTGATTCAACTAGGTGCAACAACAGAGAAAACTTTCCTCTTCAAATGAGGACAGAACATCAAATTTAACAGTTAGACAAACCATAAGAAAGAGGAATAGGACTATATTATTCAGCCCTTCAAGCCTGTTCTGTCATTCAAGAAGATCACAGTTGATCTGACATTCCTCACAATCACGTTCCTTTCTTTTTCCCATAATCCTGGATTCTCCTACGGATCAATAATTTATTATCTCACCTGTTATTATAGGCATGGGGGGTGTGCAGAGAAAGAAGGGGACATTCTGCTTTTCAAACCAGTTTCAGCAGTAAATAAGCTAATTGATGATCTAGTTGACTTTAGTTGCCCTCTTTATTCTGGGAAATACAATTGTTTCCACAATTGCTCCTTTTAATCTAACTCTAATGGTCCTGATAAAATTATGGTGAATCTGCAATGGATTCTTTCCTAGGCCGAAATATCCTTTCAAAGCAAGTGTCCAGAAATGCAAAAACAGTACTTCAGACGCGGCCTCAGCGAGTTTTTTTTTTTAAAATAGCTGCAGCAAAACTTCCTTCCATTTTTAATTTAGTCTTTGAGTTACAAAGGCTAACCTATCCTTCCTGATTATTTTTGTAGCTAATTATGGCATTTTAGTTAACTGTGCATTTGGGCATGCAAGTAAAATTGAAAATTATCAAATTAAATGGACAGTGGTAGCATAGTTATGAAATTGGCTAAGGGATGAAAAGTAGATCGTAGTGGCGGAGAATTGTTCTCAGACTGGAAGCAAGTATACACTGGTAGTTCCCATAGCGGGTATTGCGATTGTGATATACATTTATGACCAGGACCACACAGGGTAATGTTTTCAATACTTGCAAATGATATACAAAGCAGGAGAAAGTAACACATTTCTGGAATATTTAAGATTGGCAAAATGGATATATGGCAGATGAAATTTAATACAGAAATGTGGGCTGTCATGTATTTAAAAGGAAGAATATAAACTAAATGGCACAATTTCAAAAGGGAATGAAGAAGCAGAGAAATGTGTGGATGATGGCTTATTGTAATACTAACTTCATCATGTCTCTACTTTGCCCATCACCCAGCAAGCTCCTCAACCTTGACTGTGTGTCCAGCTCTTTTTAAAATACGTTATGATATCAACTTCTACCGTCTTTTCAAGCAGAAAATTTCAGATCTCAATTTGCAGTGAAATTCTTTTGCTATATCCACCCCATAGATCTTTTGTTAATAACGTTAATTTCAAACTATGATCTCTGGGTATCAACCCATTCATGAAAGGGAACAAATTTTCTCCGTACATTTTGTCAAAATGTCTTATAATCTTGAAAATGCTTAGTCGTCTCAACTTGTTCCGTTACGGCAGCATCTAATATGTTTGTAACCTCTCTTTATTACTGATTCTCTCATTCTTAGTCCAGTAACATTCTAGCAAACCGCCTCTGTGTCCTAAGGTCTCTGCATTTCCCTGGAGTACAGTGCCCAGAATTGCCCACAACACTCCATTTGTCTTTCAATTGTTCATGGGATGTGGGGATTGTTGACTAGGCCAGCATTTATTGCCCACCACCAACTGCCCAGAAGGTTATTCAGCTCAATCATATTACCATGGGTTTGGAGTCACGTATCAGTCAGGCAAGAATGGCAGATTACCATCCTTAAAGGGCATTGGTGAATTACACAAGGCCCAACCAGTGAGTTGTAAACTTACAGAATCATACAGCATGGAAACAGACCCTTCGGTCCAACCAGTCCATGCCAAACATAATCCCAAACTAAACTACTCCTACCTGCCTGCTCCTGGCCCATATCCTTCCCCAGATCTTTCCTATTTGTGTATCTATCCAAATGTCTTTTAAACATTGTAATTGTACCCACATCCACCAGTTCCTCAGGAAGTTCATTCCACATGCAAACCACACTCTGTAAAAATTTGCCTCGTGACTTTTGTAAAATCTCTCTCTGCTCACCTTAAAAATGTGACCCCTAGTCTTGAAATCCCCCATCCAAGGAAAAGACAACTACCATTAACTTTATCTATGCCTCTCATTACTGTATAAACGTCAATCAGGTCGCCTCTCAACCTCAACACTCCAGCGAAAAAAATCCCAGCCTTTTTTTTTATAACTCAAACCTTCCATACCCAGCAACATCCTGGTAAACCTCTTCTGGACCCTCTCCAGCTTGATAATATCCTTCCTATATCTGGATGTCCAACTTCTGGCACTTTCTCAAAATTTCAATTGCTTTTTAGATATAACCGAACTTTTGCAAATCCATTTTGATGCTCCTTGATCAACAAAATTATTCAAACACCCAGTCATTCTGCTCTTACAGATTCCATTAATGTTCCACAACAGTTCCAATGAACAGGTTTATAACTTCCTGATAGCTCCCCCCTCGTAATCTTTTTCAATATTGGAGCTACCTTTTCAGTTTTCCAACCTGAAGAGATCATTTCAGAAGATAAAGAACTTTGTAAGCATACAGATCAAACTTGGATAGGCACATGGAGGATAGTAAAATGTAGGATATGCAGGGTAGATTGATCTTAGTAGGATAATAGGCACAACATCGTGGGCTGAAGGTCCTGTACTGTGCTGTACTGTTCTATGTTCTGCAACTCTGTCACCTTTCTTTAAAGTCCTGAAATAGTAACCATCAAATCTCAGGGATTGGTCAATTCCTTATTTCCATTTGCAATTTTACACATCTTTTTTAAAGGGCCTACATTAACCTTGGCAACACTTTATTGTCTATTATAATCACTAAACATGCAACACATTTTTCACAATTTTTTTTTGCAAAACATACCACCTTTTTGTCACCTTGTTCGTGTCTTCCTGTCTTCCAATTACCTTAAACTACACAATCTTTTCCATATTTAATTTTAGGTTTCATCTGACTGCTTTCTCTTTCTAACCTTGACTGCTCTATTTGGTAAAGAGCTCTTTCTCCCAACCGTTACATGTGTCGGTGGATTGATTGGAAGGCAGCAGTGAGTTAGAAAAGTTTTTTAAAAAAATTAGTTACAAAGAGTACAATTCCAGAGGTTATTTTGGTGTGGAAGATGGATGGGGAAGCTGCTCTTTACACAACAGAGATTAATAGGATTAATATGAAGGAAAACCTGGATAGCATGCTGGAAAAGTGCTTACAGCGATTTTTGTTTTAGTTCAGTTTCCATCATCTGCAGTTTTTTGCTTTTGTAATCAAGTGGAATGCGAAATACTCAACAGATATTATTTGGCTGAATCTAACTTGCTCAGCTCATTAGTACTTTGCCTTATTCGGAACTTTAAAACAGTGAAACTTTGCTCGTAAGTGTATTAACCTGATCGCAGAATGGCTATGGCGCATCTAATGTCACCTAATAACATTTCATGTCCTCCTAAATGCCTCAAATCACCACTACATTTCCAGACAGTGCTTTCCACACCCTATCTACTTAGCATGTGAAAAAAAGTTTTTCCCTCATATCATTTTACTTCATTTGTACATCATTTTAAATCTATGTTCTCCCATATTGTTTTTCTTTTCCAACCAGGAATATCTCTCTACCCACTCTATCCAGCCCACTCATAATTTTGAAAAACCCTATCAAATAACCTTCTCTCCAGCAGAACAGTCCCAACTTCTTCAATCTATCTTCATAACTGAAGTTTCTCCTTCTGGAACTGTTCTTGTAAATCTATCTGCGCACTCCACCAACTTGTCAATGTCCTTTTGAAGTTCCACAAAGTCCTCCTCACAGTTTACAATTCGTCCAAATTTCATGTCATCTGCAAACTTTAAAGTCATTCCCTGCGCACTAAATTCCAGATCATTAACATAAGTCATGAAAAGCAAGGGTCTGAATGCTGACCTCTAGGGACCTCAACGACAAACCTTACTCCAGCCTGGGGGATGAAAAAAAAAAGCCTTAACCATTACACTCTGTTTCCTATCATTCAGCCAATTTGCATCCGCATTGCAACTGATCCATTGTACCATGACCTGTAATTTCCCTCAAGTATGTTCTGTAGCACTATCAAACATCTTCTGGAAATCCATATATACATATGCAGCATCACAGTCTATATTCGGCACGTGTTTAAATGGAGTGCATTCCCAATGCACATCACAATTTTAGATGACCACCATACAAATATCAGTCTGACAATGAACATTTAGATTCACACAATTAAGAAAGCCTTTTAATGAGATGCAAGAGATCATGTAAGATGAAAGATTCAGCAGCCTCAAGTGGGAAGGGGAGGGAAGAACATGAAGGCATCAGTACCTTCAAGGGATCAAGAGAGTCAAAATCTTCAAACATGAAGGAGAGAGAACAACCTTAACAATGCTGTGTGTGTCTCTGTGTGTGTGCGTGTTTGCGCGCGTCTGTGCGTGAGAGAAATTACTGAACAAATTACAAGAGATTTAAGGCTGCCACCAGAACTGAGAGATTAACCATCAGGAATATTGAATACAGTGGCACCTTTCTTCTTTAGAAGCTACTTGGACACAACCTGATCAAACTACTTAAAACTTTGAATCATCTGCATTGGGTAGATGTGGAGAGGATCTTTCTACATAAGGATATCCAAAACTAGAGGATGTAAATAACAGAGGTTTGTTTTCATGTGCAAACACAGAATAGCAAAGATGATTAACTTTGATCCATTCAGAAAGATGCTAGATGAATACATGAGAGAAAATGGAGTAGAAAAATCTGTCGAAAGAATGAGATGAAGCAGCAAGACAGAAGAGGCTCATCTGGAGCATTAACATTAGCTTGGGTTGGTTGGATTAAATCATCTGTTTTTGTGCTGTTTTCTTCATAATTCTATGAAAATACTGCCTGATATCATGCAAAATAATCCCTGGGCTTCCAATTTGACACAATATTCTAAATTCTGAAATGACCATGAAATGTGACAACATTGCAGTGGTCCTTGTGATACTAGACAGCAATCAACCTTTAGGAAGTTGCTGCCTGATATTTATGGACTCAGAAATAGTGAATATTTGCATTTACAATCAGCTATGGAAGGAATGCAACAAAGGTTCTATCAGACTGATTCCTGGGATAGCAGGACTAATGTACAAAGAGAGAATGGATAGGTTAGGACTATATTCACTGAGATTTGAACAGTAAGGTGGATCTCACAGAAACCTATAAAATTCTAGCTGAACTGGACAGCATAAATGCAGGAAGAATGTTCCCAAGAACCGGGGAGTCTAGAATCCAGGAGTCATAGTCTATAGATATAGGGTAGGCCATTTAGGACTGAAATGAGGAGAAATTCCTTCACCCAGAGAGTGATGAGCCTGTGAAATTCTCTGTCACAGAAAGCGGTTAAGACCAAACATATTATAAGGGCTAAAGGGATCCAAGGATATGGAGAGAAAGCAAGTATTGAGTTGGCTGGATCAGCTGTAATATTACTGAAAGGCAGGGCAGGCACAAGCTGCTCCTACTTTCTTTGTTTCTATTTCTGACACATTATCCATAGCTCAGGGCGACCTGCCTCCATCCGGCAATGTAGATTTTTAACAAGGATAATTGAAACAGAAACAGGTTCATACTCTTGCCTTCCTCAATTTCATTAACTGTCTAGAGTAGCAACAAAGACAGATACATAGTAGATTAAAGAATAAACATCAGATTACAAGTAGAAAATATGTGGACATAACTCAAGAGCGATTAGATAATCAGCTTTGTCTTACAATAATACACGGAAGAATATTTCATATTTCTGGTGCAATACACACAGGTGGCTCGTGTCTGCCCAGTTCACATACTGTAATCACAGATCATCTTTATCCCTTTGATCGCATTTTGCTTATCTGTTTTTCTCTTGCTTCTGTCTGCTTGGTGTTTTTTCATTTTTCAATTTTCTCAGCTTCTTTTACTTTCCAATCTCTGTTCTCCCTACTAATTTAAAGGCTTTGAATTTCACTTCCCGTTCCCTATCGACACAGGGTCTCTCACACTTGCACAATTATTTTGAAGGTGCACTTGTCCCCCATCATCTGGACAGGTATTAAAGAATGTGGGAAGTGATAGAGAGAATAGGAAATAACTGGGGTTAGGGTGAGGAGGCTGTGTAGCAAAGTTCCTGCACAGATTTGAAGCAAATGACTCATTTCTGTGCAGGGATCTCTGATTTAATAAAAGCAGATGATGGAACTTCAACTCCTTAGATAAACTAGAAGTATTCAATTTTCTACTTTGAGTTTTAAACATAGGGAACTTAAGATATAAACACAGGACAGCCTCTTTGTTCAGCAGGATATGCAAAGCTTTAAAAAATCAGAGATGAAGTATCACCCTGCATTTTCTATGAAAAGGAATACAACATGCAGCCAGGCATGTTTAAAGCAGCCAGTTTGTGTGTTCTCACACCTCACAGTTACTTTTTAATACTGTTCTTAGTTGGACTATATCTTAAGTTCACTGGACTTTGCAAACAAGGTCAGAAATCACAGGTTTATTTGAAATCACAAGTTTTTGGAGTATCGCTCCTTCTTCAGGTGTTAGAGAGAGAAGTGGAATCAGACACAGAATTTGTAAGTAAATAAAAACTGTAAGTAAAAGATCAAAGGGTCACACCACTGATGAGGATGTATTAAATAAACCTAAGATGCTGCTGAAACTTTAAATCAGTTAGAAGGTTTTAATTGATTAATATGTACATGTAAATCCCCAAATTTCTTTCAAGTCACTGCCTGTGACTCAGTGTAAAGAAGAAATGACATAATAGGTCAGACAATGCATGTAAGGTGTGAGGCCTTGTTTAGAATCTGTTTGTGTTTTAGTTTGGAGTCAGACTAGTTTTATTTCTAAAGTAGGAATTTATAAAATGCCACATTGACGGAGTGTCTATAAATTGCGTGCTTTTTGAATAAAATAGAATGTATCTGCAAATATAAATTTACCCCTTAAATTTACATGTGTGCGCATGCATGTCTGTTTGTGTGTGCGTGCAAGAGGAGAATACGCACACACTCCCCCTCTCCCTCACACGCGCGCGCGCACCCACCCACCCACCCCATAAATTTGTTTTTGCAGACACATTCTGTTTTGTTCAAAAAGCACACAATTTATAGACAGTCAATGTGGCGTTTTATAAATTCCTACATTAGAAATAAAAACCAGTCTCACTGCAAACCAAAACACAAACAGATTCTAAACAAGGCCTCGCACCTCACAAGCATTGTCTGATCTAACATGTCACCTCTTCTTTCCGCTGATAAAACCTTTAGTTCTCTCAGGGGACTAACTTGAAAGAAATTTGGGGATTCACATTTACATATTAATCAATTAAGACCTTCTAACTGATCAAAGATTTAACAGCATGTTGGATTTGTTTAATACATCCTCAGTGGTGTGACCCTTTGATCTTTCACTTCTAAATTCTGTGTCTGATACCATCTCTCTCTCTAACATCTGGAGGAGTGAGGCTCTGAAAGCTTGTGTTTTCAAATAAACCTGCTGGACTATAACCTGGTGTGTGAGATTTGTCCAACCAGTCTCACTCAATTCTCTCACCAAAGGGATTTATCAATGAAAAGTGAGAGTAAAACATTGCTCTCAGACCGACCTGAGATCCTCCTGTGATAGGGATGATGCAAGTTAGCAGGTTTCCAATCACTGTCTCCAGTGGAAAATTCAGGCTATCAATGTAAATCGTGTAGATTAGTCCCAGACAATTCTGCACAAGAGAAAAAAAAGACACCCCAAGAGATTAAAGATCAAGGATCACAATACTTTCACACACCACATCATGCAGTTGCAAATAAGGGCAGTCACCATTGTCAGCTACATAATATTCGTTACTTAACCTCTTGACCTTCTCTCACTATCTCCCTGATCCCAGGCCAAGATACACATATGTAGGTACTGGAAGTGGTAACAGACATAGTCACAGGTAAAGTCCTTCAAATGGCCCAAATCACGAATGGTCACAATAGAAACAGCATTTAAGATGCAATGCCATGTCTGGATATGGAGAGTGGAGCTCGTTTCTACCCCAGTCACAGCTCATCTGTGTTGGAACCTGTTTCATCTCTAAGTTAGTCTATTCTGATGCTCTCCTGGTTGATCTCATTTTCTACCCTCCATAAACTACAAGGTCAGTTGAAACTCTACTACCTGTATCTTAACTCACAATAAGTTTGGTTGGTTCATCTGTCGTGTTTGCTGACCTGAATCTAAATGCCTAGTTGCTTTTAAATGTTTTAGGAACGCTCCCCCATCTCTCTAATTTTCACTTGCAAAGGTCCATAACTCCTGCATTCTTCCAATTCTGGCCTAAATGTGCATTCAATTTACATTACCACACTTGTAGTGGCTGTGCTTCAGTCACTCAAGTCCAATGCTCCGGAATTTCTAACCATAGTCAAATTTTCCACCTCTCTCCTCAAGGTCATCAACCTCATTTTTTTTTCAATACATCAAGCCAAGAAAATATAATCAATTACTTATGATACTTCCACGAAGGGCACTTGAATGTTTGCTAAATTTAAGGTGCACTGTCACCAATATTGTGCTTATTATAACAAGGATAACAGATTGATCTGTCGTTTGTCGCTCATCTGTTCATGACATTTTTTTCATTGATCAAAATGCCTGCCACATTTACTCCACATTATGTTTACTGCATTTAAGAACACCATATTGCCCTTGAAACAATAAAACATATCAAACGTTTCATAAACAGTATTAAAAATGCAACTTCCCTCCTATTCCACTAGGCTCTTACCCTGAATACCTCTGTGTAATCCAACTGCGAGACCAGAACCAGACTCTTTGGAGCAAATAACTGCGGAGCCTGGGCAAATTTAGAGTCATCATCATTGATACCATTAGTATGGTTCTTCTGGGGCTAAAGAAACAATTCAAGCAGAGATTAGCACAAAATACAGTAAAGCACAAAGCTTGTAAAAGGGTCTGCATATCTTACATTGAACAGGTACCTGGCAACTTGAGGGGTTTTTATAGCTTATAAAGAATAGGTAACTGACAGAAAGTTTCAAAATGGAATCTAATCCACTAATTTGAAAACAGATCTACCAGAACTTAATGAAGGAGTCTGGGGGTTTATTTACAAAATAACAGAAAACCAGAAGTGAGTTACTGGCTGGAGTCTAATCTAATGCATTTGATAAGACAGTAACAACTAAGGTATTAAGTACCCGATAAGCCTGACTGTAAAACTGGATGTGAAATTTATTCACGTGTACCAAGAAAGTCACAGGACCTGCATCTCGTCATACAGGATGGCAAGAGAAGTTGTCTGGATGTGGGAAGTCAGTAATAAAAGGAAAACTTGGGATTCTTGGCTTTGAGCCTTTCAAAGTACCCTACAGTGAAACAACTTTCAAAATTGAACAAACAATTTGCACCATCTTTGTTCACAGAGCAAGAATCATCACTTGGAACATCTGCTTCTAGATTCAAACACTCAGTCAAACCTTACAAAAACCAAAAGAACTGCGGATGCTGTAAATCAGGAACAAAAACAAAGTTGCTGGAAAAGCTCAGCAGGTCTGGCAGCATCTGTGGAGGAGAAAACAGTGTTAGCGTTTCGGGTCCGGTGACCCTTCCTCAGAACTGAGGAAGTTCCTGAGTTCTGAGGAAGGGTCACTGGACCCGAAACG